ACGTCTAAAGACTTTTTTTTGGATGTCCTTCATTGCATCGCTATAAATCTCATTATTTATTCAGGTCTGTCGACCTGCTATTGTTTTTAAGAAGGTTTGTATTCAGACAGCAAGTCAAACGAATTCTAGCTAGTAGTTTGTGTATTAACTGGATCACTGTGAGAACTTTTTTTCGTGCCACCAGTTGCCAACGTACGCAGAAGTGGAGTTGACTCAATTTTGTTTATGAAACCTATGTTAAATTCATTTTTTAACTTAACATAGGTTTCGTAGGAAAATAATTATTTCTTTCTAAGCATGTTTGTAAACGAATTTCAAAATTCGGTTGTGCAGAAGCTACGTTCTGTTGTTCTCTGCTTATAGTTTGAGTTTTTTTTTATTTTTGTATTAAAAAATAATAAAGACACCAAAAATAGAGTTCGCAGTCAAATTGAACAGTTAGCATTCTACTAAACGAAATTTGCATGGCGGGATAATTAGCATTACAAAGTAAGTCACACTTCTAGCCATATCAAGCGAATAAAACGTCGGCATAATGCCACCATTAGGAACTGACAGAACTACTGTTTACCTCAGAGGCTCCAATACTTGAACATAGCTCTTCGGTGACGTGGCCAGATATGCCCATGCACGCGGCGAGGAGGACAAGGTACCCCACATAGCAGCCATCTTGAATCGTATCTATCTATAACCTACTATGAAAGTGATTAGTGAATATACCCTACTGAGAACGAAGAGCACGAAGGGCGAATGTATATGGCAGCGAGAACTAATACGGTGTTTTACTGGACGTCACGTAAACCGCGGCGGATGACATTTCATTGACGTTTTTCCATAACGTATACGCTTTCGTACCAAACTTCAAAAGTCGGTAGTGAACGAGAACCATTGGCCCGTACGTAGAAGTTTAGATATTTTTGATGAAGGACTGACGAAAGGAGCTCGCAGTAAGTGCATTTGGAAGTGTGAGAGTGATTACTTATAGGCTTAGGATAGGAGGCCTTTTGCAGAACTGCTTTATATCTCGATAATAAAGTTACATCCTCGAAGCGCTTTATGTAAGCTCTCCCAGAAAGGGGAGGCATCTGTGAAGCTAAGTAACCTTCGGAGTATATATAGACCTTATGGGCGAGCAGGTCAATGGCCACAAGAAGGTCGGACGCTATTTTTAGAATAACAGGCACAGGCATATTACTTAACGTTAGTTCAGCCTTCCACATCTATGGTAGTAACACAATAAAAAAATAATACAAAAACAGTACATCTTCTGCGAAGTAAGCTCTAGGAATTAACAAATGACTGAGGAAGAAAAATTTGAAAAAGATGGCTAAGAAGGAGAGGTAATGATGTGCCTGCCACTGTACAAAGACTCCATGTCTACGACTCTAACACTCCTGGGAACTGCTCTACATTTATTAGAGTTCTGCATAAAGTACGGTGATACATCATCGCTCCTGCGATGCCAAATACTCCAGAAAAAGGAACTCGCTGAAAGTGACGCTAGTCGACCAGATCACCCTCAAGTGCTTGTAGTTTTTTTTATGAGCGTATCGTAATTCTCCCTATTGGACAAGTAGGAGCACTGGGAACATTCTTATGATATACGCGGATATATTGCTATGACTGTTTTGGATGCGAGCGTAAATAGCTGCTGGATGTATCATACTTTTTGCTGCAAAGAAACGCTATGCAATTTCTAAACCTCTTTATTATACGAAACTTATTATTAACTTTAGTAGTTTTTCCTAAGCAAAGAAACGCTATGCAATTTCTAAACCTCTTTATTATACGAAACTTATTAACTTTAGTAGCTTTTCCTAAGTTACAGAGATCAAAATCTGTCTGAGAGTTGACGAAACATGTGGCAAATTTGTGGCTTGAATGCATTAAGTTGCTCGATGCGAAGACCGTTTTCTGAGTTGTCAAAAAATTCTGTGTTCTCTATGGCCGCAAAAGCATGTCAGGGTAGTATTTTTCAACGAAGCTAGATGGATAACTAAAACGCAAAACAAATGCATCGTTAATGTTGGTCTTGAAGTTCTTTGGTAGCCATCAACTTATTATTTCATCACAGTAGTTACCTCCCTTATTTTATATCGATTTCCTCTACACATTGTACCCCTTCTGGAATTGACCCTTTTTGCCACATAGCAAACTTATTCGTTAACTTTAGCATTTACTGATTCCGTTTCGCTAGAACCTCCTGGCTACCCGAATGCTGTAGTTCTAGTAGACGTCCATATCCAAACTTGAAAGATTGCGCATTTAATCCTTAAGCTAGAGCTTAATTGTGAAAAGTGAAGTATTACAGTTCGTTTGCTTTCACGAATTAACGAGACGTGTTTTTGTCCAGGCAATGCCCGTTATTAATTGTAGTCCAATCAGCATGTGACTGGCAGCCGCAGATGTCCTTAATGTGTGCGGGGATTGCGTATTTAAATCGAATCTATTCTTCGTGCTTGCAACTATCTGTTGCCAGACTACGTTGTAGGCTTGCGCAATCGAAAGACCTTTAGAAATGACCAGATCAGAAGTTTGTGACCGTATTTTTTCTTTTAAAATTCGTTGGCTGCTCGCCAGGTTAGCGTATTTATAAACCAGTTGGCCACTAAAATGAACGACATTTCAATCTTACCAGAATTACTTTGTGCAGACTGATGAGCATTAGTATTTGACGTTTATCAGTTACTTCTATTTAATTTCAGGGGGGCGTTTCATGATGTTATAGGTGTATAATGAATATAGAAAATAAATTAGGCTAGTAAACGTTTCTTTACAACAGCTTTTATCATCTGTGTTTATCATCACACTTCTCACTGGCCAAAACGCCATATGCCTGACACTAAAAATAGCGCATCCCAACACATCTGCAACAGTGTGAGTTGACGAATTCTGGGTATGTAGATAGTGATGGGAGTCCGTCATGTGGTAACAAGAGGCATCAAAAAAGACACTTGCAGCGTTCTCCGACAAAGAATTTTAAGCCAAGAACGATTTGTTTATTGTAATAGCACAGACTACCATAGCATAAGCAGCTGGGTAAATGTGGTGACCTGTTGAGGGTCGGCTGCCGTCTATGAGCGTGTTTAGGCTGAAGGACGTCTACCATAGTCAATGAAAGACAATGATCAACTTCCTGTTTTAATCGATAGTTCACAAAGGTGTATAATAACGCGAACGGTAAAGGCTGGTTTTAGTTATGTTAAGGGATTAGTTAGGGTATCATTTGAAGGCTGCTTAAGGGAATTTTCATTGCAATATGCTTTTCAGCTCTACGAAAAATATAACTTATTTTGTAGAGATAAAGGTTTTCAGACTAGTGAGGTCGCAAAGTCGCCAGACCACTGCTTCCATTACTTAAAATCATATGCTAAGTTTATCACTGCAACTGCTTCGTTTTGTCGTTTCAGCTGTCGGCGGCATTTCCGTTTAAAACCCACATGCGCATATAATTGTAGCCGATCGCATACGCCTGCAGTAAGACTAAGATAATATTATGTTTTTTCTGCCAAAAAGAATACATGAATCAAAAGCTTTCGTTTTTTTTTTTAATTTACATTTTAGGCTATTTTTGCTATGCGAACAACTTTTCGGAGTCACCTCTTTTTTTTAGCATTAATACACGTATTGAAAGGTCCAGTCGAAGCAGGCCCTGTTGGTCTCATCTGGAGTTTCTTTGACAAGGGAAACAGTTAATTTTTCAATTTGTTCAAAAATGCATGTTTACTCTGTTTCGGCTTGTCGAGGGTGCTACGGTAGATCTGAATTACGTATATATTCTGCTGATCTCGTTGTGTATTAAACAAAGAAAGAGGGAGACATTGCAATCTATGAACCATAGTTGATATCGTCACTCACAGGTAGACCGGATACACAAAGTATCCACTATTATGCATTGTATGCATGTGTTGTCTTGGTTTTTAAATGAAGCATTTGATGAAGATCGAAGTGCAGATTGGTTCCGGATCTATTGCAAGGGTGTCAGCAAATGCGAGCAGCTAGTGAAACCTCAGTTCGCTGTTCCATCGCCCGCGTTTCTGAATGATCAGAAGCTACAGCAGTTGACATTTACTTGAGGGCAGTGTTATTTCTGATGGGTTTCTGATGAAAAGGCGAGTACTGCTATAAGGCCACAACGGAGCTAGTCAGGTGTTTGTTCTGCAATGACAGCGACATTTTTGCTCGATCCTATGACACCCTAGAGCACCTACGTTCTAATTTTGAGCGCACCCAAATACGCTTCTGAATGACAATGTGTAACAGATGTATTTATGCGACTACTAAACTTTTTAGATAAGGGAAGTAGTTAAAAGGAGCTTTAACAAAATCCTATAGTATGTCGCTAAAAGCACGCGTGTCGTTTACTTGACAACAGGAACTATCTTAGTGTTTTGTAACGCGGTAGAAAAATGAAATTGAAGCTACCATTTATTGAATTTTACTCACCGTACGCAGATCTGTACAGGCTGTTCATAAATATTACGACGACATTTTGTTTTCCTCTAAGTGCACGCAAGAAAGATCGCGTATCGCTGATGTCAGCTTATTAGTGCAACACCGCCATTATCTGTAACCATTATTATTATATGAGGTCGTTCTTTAAGCTGCAACCAAATGGTTTGCCTTCACTCGTATTGATTGCTATATCCATTAATCGACGAGCAAGGAGAAACGACTGGTTCTTGATCTGCCTAGTTTCCGGAAGACGCAGGAATAATTTCTGCAGCTAATATATATCCGAATAATTTTAACAAATGATATTATATATATAGATATATAAATAAATTGATCAGTCTAATATGGATAGCTGTTTTCAAACAGGCCACCGCTAATCCAGATCTGAAACTCTGCGTGCCATTGCCTAAAAAAAAAAGGGATTTGATGTCAACGGGCATAATCAAGTTCACTGAACCGACTGTAGGAAGCCTAACAGCCATTAGGGATATTTTCCCTCCCTAAATATATGCATGTAACAATATAGAAAAAAAAAATCAGCGTTCTGTGTCTAAGCATTTTTATGACTTGTAATTTATGCATGTTTAATAAATACATATCATAAACCCTTCTGTTATCACAGCGAAATTCACAGGCTTCCTGCTACATAATCGGGTTGCAGAAATCTGCAACAATATTCAGGACAATAATTACTGATTATTCATCTCTGATCATCTAAAACAGAACGTGACACTTTTCTCTTCGAATCATTGTAGCTGATAGTTGCAAATTGTGTCTCCGTGATCCTTCAGCCACCATCTTCAGGCCTAACCCTGACGATACACAAAATAATTTTTTTCATGCGTTTTTATGGTACAATTCTACTACGTTTTGACACTGAATATCTTATTTGGCCAACATCGAAGAAGTATCAAGACCATTATGCCTTTGTTAGACTAACAAGACATCTGTCAGGTAGAGTTGCTTGTTTTGGTGAGCTAAAGATACAAGCTTTAGTGAACACTACATTCCCCGATGCACTCAACATCTTGTGTTGCAATGCAAGCAATGAGATAATATTATAAATGCTCGACTCCTCACTGGAATCACAAAACATAGAGACAATTCGTAGAAACATCACAAATAGACAACAATTAAAGTTTTTCTAACAGCCCAAACAAAACATACCAAGTGTACTAAAATATACAACTTCAACTCCGATTTCGACCAGTATGAGTTACAGGAAAAACCTTATTGATGAAATTAATCGAGTTCTTCGAGTTGTCGTCTAGTGTTGTGCTTGATAGAAATGTCATCATCGTCGTCATCATCACTGCTGAAGCTGGAGCGCAATGCAGGATAGTCGTCATCATCGCTATCAAATCCATCGGTATCAGTTGCTTTGCAGCCATTTCTCAATGCTCTGAAACTGGCGCGCATATAATCTATTCGGTGGTCATCGATTTTCGCCATTTCCCTCGCGGAGAGTTTGACTCCGGCCAGCGCGAGAATTTCCAGTTTCTCTCGTGCGGCGTTCTCTCGAGCAATTCTGATTGATTCCTACATCACGCAATAAAAAAGAACGCCAGACCGTATAAGAATGTGGTAAATTGTTTATCAGATAGACATAGATACCTGTCGTCTGCTGTGTTACGTTGTCATAAAGAGGTATATACTGTTATTTGTTAACGTTTGATCTGTTAATAGCTTTTTTCTAAGAGCTCTCCCGTAAAGTGATTTTAGTAGGCACCTTGTAAAAAAATTTGTGTTTTTTATGCTTTGCTTTGAAAAACGCTATTAGTTGGTTCTGACCTTGATTTAATTTACTCGTGCCATACTATAGGAGGACCAAAAAAGCTAGCTCTAACAAAACATTTAGCGGAAGGGGTCCGCTAGAATCTTATTTAGTAGCAGACAACCAGTTCATTCTGTTGGTTATGAAAAAAATATAGCCGAAATTCTTCAAATACATTGGTCCAAGTTTATTCATAATATAATTATTCTGTCAGTGTATTGTCTACTTACTCTACTATTCTATAATCAAAATGGTCTAGCACGAAAATCTGAATTTTAGTACCTTTATCGATAGAACACAAGGAGGTTTCGTGTCGGCAGCTTTCAGGTCGGGGAAAGTCTCCCATTTTACAGCATGTTCAGGCTTTATTTCTGCCTCGTACTTTAAGCTCCTGTAACGAAAACACGAACTAAGTTTTAATGGAGCAATCATAGGACGTTTATTAAATACCGTCACACCGGGAAGTTACTCTACTGTGAGTATGGTAAGCTAAAATTACAATTAACCCTTAACAAAAATATTATGTCAATCAGTGGTGATACATAGCTGATACTTCAATACAAATTCAATTTAAAACCAGTCTAAAATTACTTCTGACTTAAGTGTATCAATATCGTGCAAAAACAAATTAGTATAATCTTACCGGTTTGGCTGAAACTTCTTCTTAGATTGCTTTTGTCTCTGCTCAATTTTTTCCGCAAGCTTATCGGCATACTTGGGCAATGATTCATTGTTTGCCCTGAGACCTGTAAAGGAAGAAGTGATAGCACTATGACAGTCAAGTCTTAAAGATTTAATAAAAGTCCCTAATATTAAAACGCTTTTATTCATGTGATCCTCAGTAAACTATTGCAGATAATAAATCAGATATACGATACTATTTCATAGCGTTCTTCTTACTAGGTAATTAATGTTCCTGACTATAGTTTACTATGTTTATGGAAGCTTTACTTATATAAGTTGTTTTTGAAAAGGCTAATATAATAACATACGGTTTTGACGTATGATACATGTAAAAACAGTTGTGAGTACGCGGTTGACTCTTAGTGATACTCATTTCTAAAGAAATTACAACTATTAAATAAGTTGTTTGCATAACAGCTAATTAGTGGTCATGTTTCAACTGTTAGGTAAGGACATGATAACTTAGGTACAGACATAGACTAACCGTCAAAATTTTCTTTGTCGCGTTCATCCTTCAGGGTGAAGTTGCTTATCATTTCTATTGTTGTCTCAAGTCCCTGAATTTTATCTCGGCTTCTTAACTCTGTTTCGGCCGCCTCGAGTTTCCGCCGAACTTGCTCACCCTTGTCACTGAGTTTGCTGAGCACCAAAGTATTTTTCAGGATCTTTTTCTGCCTTTCAATGAACTCCCGAAGTTCCACCTACATTAGCAAACGAAACTAGAGAAATATAATATACCACATTTGGAGCTATCCTATTCCGAAAACCGTGACAAACAAATCACATGTCCTTCACAGCCATGGCTTCTAACCTCGTTAGAAGGCCCCTAATCACCATTACGTTTCTGCGTCATTACTTTTATATAATTTATCCAGCATTTGTCATTGCTTACTAATATCAAACTGTGCATACGAACAACTGACATTTGGCGATCATTGTAGTCAAATAACAAATACGTACGCGTTTGTGGTTTTAATTACACGAACTAACGTTGCCTTTTGCCTGGAATACGCTACATACCTCTGTCATCTTCGAACAAATTAGCGTTGCTTCTTTACCGGGGGTTTGATGTTCCTTTGATGGGGAATATGAACCGTTCCGGACAGCAGAGGTCATCGTGCCAACCGTTAGAATATACTATACTTTTCACAATGGAACGCACTGGCTGAATGAATATTGAGTAGGTCACATCCGGTTGAGTTTCACAGCACAACGATTCAAATTTTTTACGAAGGTCGTAGTTTATCAAATGATTTGTCAATTGGCCACATGCTTCTCACACCATTCGAAAAATAACCCTACAAGAATAATATTTACAGCGAAGCAGACGACGCCCAATAGTTGATACTATTGTAAACACGAGGTACCACTCTTGCGTATGCCTGCAACTTTTTTTTTATTTGTTAAACCTATAATAAGTGGGTTCTGTCAAGGGCTCTGACTTACTAAATATTGTAGATACGTGGTTTCGTTTGATCATCATTCTTGGCAACTTTGGGACCATCCTTACTCAATGTATAAAACAATGGAAAAAGCTGTTACGTTTAATGATGATTAATGATCACCCTATATGGAAGCTGACTAGGATTCTAAGGGAGGCGTTCGTCAGGGTAGCATCAAAGAGGTCAAGTCAGAGCATTTGATTTTCTATGTTGATTTTCAGTGTTATAGAGGTATAAGATATACTATAATAAGAATCATTGTTGTTACCTTTGATAATCGAAGGTTTTATTAATATTCTCTCGATACAGTAATTATTGACAAAGAATAGAAATAGTTAGTTAAAGTGAACTGTAGAAACGATGATTTGGAATAGATAAACACAGTATAATACTACAAAATAATAGGACAACCTAAACAGCGAGGCCATTGGTAAATGTCATACTCCATAAAACACAGTGAATCAACCAACAGGATGGTTTTTACTACACGTTTTATGTAAGTACGTATAAGTATGCTAATTTCTCAAAAAAACGTTTGTGAAGTCGCGGCAGTATAACTTTTCTTAAGATCTGCTTTTAGCATTCGAACGCGATGTCCGTTTACTGCAGTCTCTGCGGGCACAAAACCGTAGCTTATTACTTAATAAATATCTGTTATAAATATCAGGTACGTAAATGCTTGGATACTGTAATGAGAAATTGAAATATTTAGTATAATGAACATTACCGAAAAATTATCTAAGTAAGTGTTTCCGGTTTGTTCATCATAGTGTGGAATTAACAGTTTGGTGTGAAAAGACATCGATATGGCTTGAAAATATACTCATTATTATGTGATAGTAGGTGCCTATCATAGTATTACTTCATGTTTAACACTTATTAAACCCTTATAGCCATGCGAAATGCATGCGATGAATGCGGTCCTGAAAACCGCATTTTTTTAAAGTCAGTTCACACTTTGTTTCTGATATTTTCCCAGTCGTGCGGACTTTCGTTCTTATGGTCCCTGTTCTCGTCGAATAACCGGTATGTGCTCATCGGTGAGGGGCGTAACGTGTTCCATAAAGCACCGATTACAGTAATGTTTCAAACAAGTTGCCTGCAACACAACGCGCTGCAAATTATTTCCGTATTCCACCTTGCGTATTGCAGAAAAATTAAGCCGTATTGTAAAACAGGAATCGAATAAGATCGTGCCGATAATAAAAAGGAATTGTTTTAGAAGGTAGAAGGAACGAAAAGCCTCAACCCCAGGAATGCCCCAAACGAGTGCGATATATTTCATACTATACACTAAAATGTGCTATTTATAAGTAGAAAAGTAGGAATTTAGAAACCAGGGATGATAGATGGAAACCTGAGTGATTTTTTCCGCAGCTCTCATACGCGACTTTGGATTAGTCAATAAACAAACAATTGAATACAACTACTTACAGCCTTACATACGACCACTGATGGGTTGCTCAAGCAACGAGAGCATAGCACGCCTTCGTCAACAAATGGATTTAATTCAATTGTCTGTAATTGAATTGCATATATGAGCTTCTGCAACAGCTAGACACAAACTTAACTATCACAAGGAAGACATTATAACAGAGCGAATCGGGTGCGCGGTTAGACCCTTCTCGAATTAAGAACCAATTGATATTCAATGGTATGAAATACGAAATTAGAGAGTACTGAATACCAGTTACTTGGTTCGACCTCCGTACTGTAGACCTAGGAACTGTATTGTGAAGCATGTGGCACAGCACTTCTTCATGACTAATAACTTCTTTGTCTCAATATATAAGCTTCAACGAACCCTTTGGTAGTGATGAGCGCGAATTTCGAGGTAGTGTATTTTGAGCGCCTGTAGAAAGCTTTGATAGGTTCTGAATTGGACCCGCGCGGAGCCAGTCGGATACCTAAAACGATTGTTGAAAGCACATTGTAATATAGATTGTAATCTTATTGTTTTTTGCAAAGTTTACCTGAGTAAATTCGTAATTATTTTTGCAAAACCACAGGACAAGGGGTGGGTTAAAAGGCCAACTGCACAATACGATGCAAAGCATCAACACGTGTTTGGGATGCGTGCCGCCGCTTTTCGATCGAGACCTTAACTATTTTATGGGCTCAACTTTGTCAAGAACCCCTTTTTTTGCATACTTACCATTACGCTTATCTTTCCTTTGTAATCAGCGATAGTCCATTCGAAAATTGAAAATGATTTGACCTAGAGCCAGCGCAAGTTATTATATACAAGTTGACAGATGCTTGTGTCTTTAAGACGCATATGGGTCGTAATTTGGTCTTCGAATGCATTTGCTCTCGCAACCCAAGGAAGTGCGACATATAATATCAAGTCTGTGCTACTCACTGATACCGATCCGTATCGATGCGGACAAATTGAACCGGCCCACAGGTCAATTCCAGGACGAAAGCAAGCTGTTTAGCTGTCGTTTCACCGTAAAGGGCTCCGACAAATACCATGAAGTTCAGCTGGTCAACGCCCAGATCAAGGATACGTTCACCGTACTGATTATCGCTAGTTTCCCATGGAATCACTTGAAGGCTAGTACCCCACGCCTGCAAAAAGAAAATCAATATGCTATGGAGTCAGTCCCTGTCGCTTTTTTGAACTGTGGTGTGGAGCTGTACAGAATTGCAGCCACTTACCTGCCACGCGTATATCTCTGCTCCTTCAGTCCGCCTACAACTACTTAGAAACTCAGCTACTCTTCGACCATTCTCAAACACGACATAAGCGTGACCACGATCCGCCTGCTTGTGACAACGTACTCGTCCGAAAGGCTGGAACGCCGCCTCTAACTCCCTTGACGTTACTTGGGGGGGAAACCCGCCTATAAATATCTGCAATGCGTTGAAGCAGAAGATCTTTCATTTTAAATATCTCAGTCCTCGACTAGCGCAATACCTATTATTATTATTATTATTATTACCTTAAGCAAGCTATAATTTAGACGTCATTCTTCGAGGATTTTATACTAAATATTGACAAATATTTAATGATGTGAAGCGTATGACCATCCTAATCGAGATATTTTCTTTACTGCTCAAAATGAAAGATGATGTGCCGCTTTATTAATTCGGCTATATGATGGAGGTAACATTTCTATTGTTCAGTATACTGCAGTTTTCTTTTGATTTACATTTCGTATCTGTGTGCGCGTGTATACATTGCATACACATGCACCGGGCTGAAACCTCTCGACATCGACACCACGCAAACATTATGTTCAAATCATATTATAGTAAAAGAAAAGGTTTAATAGAAAAGACCCACGATTAAAAAAAGAACCTACTTTTCTGGAATATTCAGGATTGGGCTCCGGCTCCCGTGTGAGCTCAAAATTTCTCTCTACCCAAATGATACGAGGCTGGACTAACGTTGCCATGCCACCGCCCGTCCTACTTCTTGCATCGCGCCGGCCCTATTAGGTTACAGCAAATAGTCAGTGGATGTTGCAGGTAAGCTGATCGTAAGAGGTGATGATATTTAAGAGTCCTTAAGAGTAAATGAAAGCGTACAACAATAAAGACGAGCAAAAACTGACCGCTTAGTGCCTTTAAAGTTAAAAAAAACTCGAAGCTGGATTCAGCTCACTTCATATATACTATAAACAGAATCACACATGAACTGAATCACCAAAGTACCATTTGTTGCGTCTGTTGTCCATGGATGACCTCTCGGTAGCGTTGAACAGTGTCCAAAGTATCCATACGGTCGATTATATTATAGGGCGCTGCAGTTACAGAGGGTCCTTGTCCGGAAGCTACAGCTTGGTCGGCCGTTCGATAAGCGTCGGTGTGCACGGATGCAACACCGTGTTGCTGCCCCGCCTCCCAAAAATGCAACGGTGACGGATGGGCGGTCGCAGTCCCGCCACCTAAAACCTCACCGGGGGTGCCAGGTACCCCCCCTGTGCCTGCGAATCCAGGTTCAGCAACGCGGCTACTGCCAACATTAGCGATATTCATTCCATCTGCAGGCACAGACATCGCCTCAATTATCACATCGCGTCCTAGTATTGATGCAATTATCACTGACTGCGGGTTCTGTGCTTGTCCTGGAACTCTACCGCTGCCGATACTTTGGGCCATACGGCGAGAAGCAATCATTGCTGGAGTAGGCATAAGTCTTGCCATTCTCATGAGCGATTCCAGCCCTCCGGTTCCGCCTACCGTTTCTTGCGGCTGTTGCTGCTGCTGTTGTGGACGTCCTTGCGGTTGTGGTGTACGGGACTTGTTAGCCGAGGTTGACGGCTGGGACGTGAACTGAGCCTGACCTGGCCTAGAATAAGGTCTTTCATGCAAGATAGGTTCATGTCTTGCGGGTACTGCAAATGTAAACAGATGTTAAGGTTTGATACGCACTTCTTATTCTTCGTCTTGTTTTTAGGTTGGCTTTTCAATAACTGTTTGTTCGATTATTACCGATTTATATGTCTGTTAATTAACATATATATTAAGATAAAATGAGTAATTTCAAATCTCGTATAGATGGTTGACTACAGACGTGACGAAACAAAGCCTATGATGATTGTCTTCGAACTGAATCACATCACCAGTGAAGGGCCATGACGGAGTAACGCAAACAAGTCAAACATTAGGGACAAGGGATTTTCTAAGCTCGCATAAATTAGCATACAATAGGATCTAGTAAATTGGTTCAATAGTCGATAAGTAATTTAAAAGAAATGTACACATCGATATGCGGTTACCTGTGGGTGAGAACGCTCGTTCTTGTTGTTGTTCGGAAGGTGAGAACGCTCGTTCCTGTTGCTGTCCTGAAAATAAGAACGCACCCTCTTGCTGTTGCCGAGGGGGTGAAAAAAGAAGACCCTCCTGTGGTTGTCCTAAAGAAGAGCGTACTTGTTCGTGGTGTTGCCCAGGTCGTGTTTGGTGCTCCCAGCCCGTGCTTGCTAATGGTGGAGGCCCTTCCCGTGAAGATCCTGGTAAACCTCGTCGATGCTGCTGAGAACCCTGCTGAACACGGGAAGGACCACGTTGCTGCGAACTGTAAAGTAAACCAGACTGATCTCCAGCATCAACGTTATTACCATCGTCCGATGGACTACTGTTGCCGTCTGGAGCCATATCCTTAACCGTATCACTCTCAATGAGTCAGCTTTTAGCTTCAATCAGGTCCTGTGGCAACCCACGCTAACGATTCGGGCTATGCTTATGCAGAACACAATTGAAGAAACCAGATTAGAAGAGTGGCAAAATGTAAGATCTCTTGACCGATTTAAAGCACATAACTCGTCTCGAGCAAAGGTCTCATGATGACAAACCCTCTAATCATGTATCTATCATATATATAGACATGGTCGAACCGTATCAATTGTCTAACTGTTCTAATAACACTTTAGTTGCAGAGTATTGATCATCTGTCAGGAACTACATTATACGTCAATGTATTGTCAAGATACCGACGCTCACTCTTCTATAGGACATGATAGCGCACTGTTGCATACCATAGAGAAAAACGACACCATCTCAAATACATTAAATAATAATAAAGAGGTCAAAAATCATTTGATTGCTACCATTGTAGTGCGGTTGGCCGCACGCAATCAATTTGACACTCTCTCTATTCTTTATTTGACACTAACTCTATTGGCAGTATATTGGGAGTCTACGGCGCACGCTTCCCTATCAAACTGGAGATAACTCTAGTGGTTTCTTGAGAAAAATACAAACTGAAGTTCCTGAAACAGGTTCGATCCAATACCCATCGAGAAAATCCACAAAATCTTGTCTTTGTAAAAAGGCCAATATTTGTGATAGCCATAATGCTAATGTAGCATCATAACTTCAGAAGCTTTCGTTCTAAAGGCCATCTACACGAACGTATATAATGTAAAACAAGCCTATACTCGCTGAGTAAATAAATAATATAAGGCAGAAAATAGTTAGTTAAAAACTAACTTAAAACTAAGTTAGTAAAGAAATGATGATAGTATCATTTTTGACTCTTTTTATTAAGTATACCTAAATTCTACAATTAAACTAAATTCTTAAATAAACAGCCATTACGTGAACGGCGTCTTCCCCGCTCGATAAAGACATATTGAACAGGGCAGGATAACTTGGCCTATAGCATTGAAAAGCAGGATGACATGAATGCCATCCAGTGTTTTGTTCATCTCAACTCCAGCCGGTCATAGCCATTGCACGCCGCTCCAACGATATAGCCTTGCCGTGATTAGATCTCGAGCGACGTTTAGATAATTAATTTTCAAGGGACATTTTCTGATAAAACATTACCTTTCCTTATCGATGAAGAGCTCGTGTATATGTAAACGATATTTACGCAAACGCATATGTTGCAGCTACGATTCCTGTTCGAGACTTCACGATTGTTTCCACCAATAGAATGGGGCATCGTAGCAACTTTGGTCATCCAATCTAAAAGGCACCTGAAATTCTGCTGAGTAATAGGCCATACTAATAAGGCTCTACATGCTAGTAAATAAAAGGATCCACTCTTATTCTCAAGAATTATAAAGAGAAAAGAGCAATTTCTGGATTAGGTGACGATTTCGTCGATGTAATTTTATCCTATTTTTTCATATAACATGCTTTTTGTTTTCTCCTAACAGATATATGCGTCGCACACCGAATGGAGTGTAATAGTAAGAGATAACAGAATTAGTTTCATGTTCAGATCATCAGGTTACAATTGATCGTACTTGCAAGCATGCCATATCGTACATGAGAGTTTTTTTTTTTCAGAGAGTAAGCATAGTCTAAGCTGATGTTTACCAGACATTTCTATACTTGCAATGTTATGACACTGACTACATAATATATGCTTAGTAAATGGATAAGGTCGTTTATTCAGCGTATTAGTAATATACTACCAATCTAAAATGCGATAACGGCGGTGGTCGATACACTTTTTGTGACAGTTAGCCACAAATGTTGCTTAGATTTAATTTGACGAGCTCCTAGCTTGAGGAAATGTTAGGAAAAAGCAACAGCATCTAATGGACATAGAGAGCTGCAGGATAAATTATATTGTATTGTAGTGTATTGTGAATTATTACTAGGACTTATGGGCATGTTCAATGCGAATGTTCGGCGGGGTACTTACCCTAGGGTGTCTAAAATTTAACCGCAAACCACAACTAAAGCTCACTCGTTATGCCAATTGTCGGACCCGTTGATCACAGGACGGTCGAATTTACATTAAGATTGTAAAGCATTGAAAAAAAAAACCTAGAAAATACTCTCTCTTCAACGTTTTGCCCATCGAAAGTAAAATTCAGCTTATATTACTTTGCGGTTGGAAGGCTGGGCTTAACTACTGCGATCCTTATTGATCGACACCGACCTTCAAGTTCTAAACGAGGCAACTGGCTAAAACGAATTTCTTAGTTAATTGACCAAGGTGGAGATAACTAGACGCGTCCGTGACAACATAAAGCTAGCTATCCAATAGAGTTTTAATGCCCATAGATACGCATGCGCTTCTATGGGAAGCTCCTTGTACTATGCTAGGTTTTGCATGTAGTCTATACTTTTTTTCGTCATAATGGGATTTTGTTTCACTGTATCTTATAACGCGCTCTGATGTTTTTGATTGAAATTGCCATAACGTCATTTTCAGTTTTTATTCTCGTTAGGACATCCTACGGTTCCATCTTATAGTCTGTTGGTAAATAGTATTTTCATATTTGTCGACCGGTTTGAAGCCGTAAGAAGATTGTTCTCCGTCTTCAAGCTAAAACTTGTTAGACATGAGTATGGGTGTAGCATATTTAGGTACTTGCTACGGCATACCCGCTATTGACGTACGTACTAAGTGGATAGTTGGGTGTTAATTTAAACCGCATTGCAGCGTCCCTCCTGCCGCACTACGACCAGTTGGCCTGGACGTGCGTAAGGTCGCTTTTTCACGGACTGAAATTGCCATCCAGTATCGAAAATTAGGCAGTCAAAGATGGCGCAGTCCATTTCCGGCCGCCGGCTATCGTGTAGACGGTTAGATATATCGGTGAGGGTGAGTTGTTTGTACCCACTTGACCAGATACCCTACAATGTAGAGCTACACAGATGCCAAAAATTTTCTCTCTCATATTGCTTACAATAAGGTAAAAGCATGTTCTTATCGGTCGTTCAAAAACAGCTTATCACACTAGACGACCCATATAGTCTATGTAGCATGAATGAAATGAAAATTGCAGCCACTATTAGGTACAAGAGGTTCCGCTTCTTTATTATTGTTATTGTTCCGGTTTGTGTATTTTAATCTCGCCGTTATTATTGACGTCAAAAAAAATTCCATGTGGATCTGACAGTTGTTGTTGATCTTACTAATCCTGTTGGTGGCAATATGGCTAGTAGTATTTTTACTTTATTATTCGTTTCTACTATACATCTTGCATTTTGCTTGTGGCTCCACCACTTGCTCTTGTTTCAATTGTGGTGCCGTTGTGTTTGACGTCCTGATGAAGTGATCTAGCTTTTTTCAGTCGTCCTATATTATTTTGCTCCCGAAAGGTGCCGTCCCTAGCAGGGGAGTTCAGGATTCCTTAGTTAATCAACGGCGCTGCCTCGATCGTTAGTAGTCGTCAGTCGTCGTCGATGATAGAACGGAAATGGGAGTGCAATAGAAAAACCCCCAAAGATTTATTTGCTGCTGCTATTATTCTTAACGTTTGATATTGGCTGGTGCTAGTTAAAGTCACTTTATGCAATCTCGACCATCTTCATATTTTTCCGCACATTTTCTGCATTTATTGATTCATCAGTTTCATCACTCAGGTGTCAAAGGAAAGAACTACTATATAAAATTTCGGTACTAACATACCATAACATAATTAATCACTATAAATAAAAACAAAACATATTTATGACATAGTGTAGACGTCGTCATTGCAAACAGAAAAAAACTATCCTTATATAATAATCATAACCACGATGAAACGACGCGTCTCAAACAGGACAATTGTAGCTGGTAATGTGTTCCTCCACCTCGTAGTCAAATCGATGACGAACACGATTTTGCTATTCTTTGACGAAGTGGGTGGGTGTCCTGTCGCGCGTACGTCCTGTCGCGAGTACTTTACAGCGACGCACGCGTCGACCGGATTAAATGATGATGCTGATGACGACGGCGAATTGTTATCTGAAGTAAGTTATGCCAAGTTGTTTTTTCCTTACTTGGCAATTGCCCCTGGAGCGACTGCAACGATTAACAACAAATCGAGAAACGGAAATAACATTAAAAATGCTACAACGATTTTTTTCATTTACTGTTACAGCTAAATGGGAAATATCATGCCGACCCATTCATTAGTACAGTAACTGACAATGGACATGCGCTGCTAAAGCGAGTATTTTGACAGTTAACATTGTGACAATTCACCTGAACATGTAAAAGACAGTGAATGAACAATGTAGATAAACATTTCTGACATTTTCCAAACTATTCGACAATAGCTGACCAAGAATCGTTAGTTTCAAATGATAAATGAAGCGTGATCTGATGCTATCTGTGACGATCTGAGTTACTGGTTAAGGGAACATTATGTTTTAACTCACCAATCTTCGACAAATCCGCCACCGCCGATGGTAATTTTGGCTAGAAGCGACGCGGTGCGGGCAGATGTGTACTTTCATCAATTTGTCGAAAGGACCCATGGGTCGTTGATAATAGTCAGGCCACGCACAGCACAGCACCGCACTCAGGGTTGCAATAGGCCCTTGAGACTTTCAGACCAAAAAACCTCGAATGTGGTCGATTGAGCTAGGTGCGGATGCGCTAAGAGCATTGATGATTGGTCGGTGTTACTGAATCAAGAGGTTGTCCTATTAACGATGGCTGACTTAGTGGCCAACAGGTACGCCGACAACAAATTGATTATAGACAGCTGGCTATTTAAAAGCTGTTATAGCAAAAAAACGGGCAACTAAAAGTGAAGAATTACGGTTGGCTTGTAAAGTGATTGGCAGCAAAATGGGTAATATACTTATTATTGTTGTTATCATATCTTGCAGATATTCAAAATCGAGGTTTTCGGTATTTTTCCTCAAGAGAACCTACGTCGGATGGTAAGGTCATTTATGATGTTATTGGTATGGTATATGGTAGTAATGTTATTATTAGCAAGGATATTGTATTTTATCCAGGTATCGTGTTGTGAATGAACAGTTTGGATGTTTCGACGAAATGACGACGATAACAAACCCAATCAGATATAGACCAACATAGCACGGCCATGGATCATTGAAGACAGATGAATCGTTTCATGCATTTTGTTATTGATCACGACCAGTTGTGGGCGCAGGATGTTGTTGTTGACGGTGAGCGGCAGACAACGCAGCCAGTGGGGTCAGTCAGATCACGACAGTGAAACACCGCCAGTGGCAACAGGCGATACCGCCAAACGCGTAACGTCGTTTACACACGTACGGACATGGTCGAACAGAATCCAACAAAGATAAGTTAGTTCTTATTATTTTTTAATGTTCGCTACAAGACGTTCGTCTGTCTGCTACATTTACTCCTCGTGTGGAGAAGCATACGTTTTATATTTACTCGTTTCGTAATTTTCGAATCTATCTTAAACATGCCTCTTTGAATACTGACAGATTACCGCTCCCCGGAAAATATAGCCACAGATACAAATTAAACATTATGCTAACGGATTAATTTGATTCTTAGTGTAGATAGCAGTGAATCACGATGAAAAATATATAGTTTGCTGCGAGACATAGAACTTCCACGAAACATCGAACGAAGAGTACATGGACCCACAGGACAAATGGTCAAAAATAGAACTGCTTTTGGTAACGTTACAATGGATAGTGGAGGCAGCGTATTTATAAAAGACAAGAAAAAGCTCTACACAAGATTAAACTTTATAACTTACCAGTTACGCATAGGTTTGCTGTATATGGCAGCAACAGTAGTAGTTTTTTTAGCAGACGATTTGGTAAGACGAGCAAAATACGAGGAGGAGAAAAGGAAAATGGTGAGCCGATTGCTTACGCCACAGCCCCCGAAGGAAGCCAATGAAGGGGTTTGAGACGAAGAGACAGAACGTCAGACACAGAACAGTTCATTACATTCTTCGAGGAAAATGAACGCCACGCTGTTGCTGGGGGGCTGAACCTTAGCAATGGACAATCGTTACTTCATATCTTTGTATGTGGCTGGGAAAACAGAATGACACGCGCAGTGGCCGGACATTCACACACCATTCGATGAACAGATAGATAGATACATTCACTATCAGACGACTGCCTGATCATTCAGATGATACAGTTCTCACTTGTTCAATAGTACACAACGTGAATTCGCAGCGGGTGGTTTTTGCAAGTCTGATCTACGGATTGCTGATGACAGCAGCAGTCATAATAGAAAAAGGTACAAAGTTCCACCTAATTAGACATCGAAGTAGTTCGTTTTAGCTAGGGAAAGCTACAGAAGATGATTGCTCTGAACAAAAATGACGCCATATAGCACGAAAACTGTTTAGGGGAAATGCGGAAGATCTGGAACGATCAAAATTCTTTTTCAAAGAGTTGTTGTTGTTGTTGTTACGTAAGGCAAAAACAGGTAAGCTGACAATGATGTGAGTAGCGATGGTACGTTACGTATGTTTCAGATAGCTATAGGTGGTAAGAGGTTGGCTAGCTTCGTTGTGTGGTACAATAGATAAGTACACAATCATAGTAGATGAAGTGTAATAAAGTCGAAATATCGTTTATTTTTTTTTTCTATTATGATATTGTTATGATGGCTATTACTATATTACCTTTTCTATTAATTGCTATGTATTGTCGTTATTTCATTCAATCCGTTATTATAATTGTTATTATTTTGTATGTTTCGGCTCAGGTTGATGGTCATGTTAGTTCATCATCGCAAAACCGTCATTGTTGATCTCTTTTGCTGCTAATCGCAAAAAAACCATCGTATCAGCAGCGGCAATCAATCAAACGGCGGTCTTCGCAAACAGATCGATGAAAACAAATTCTGCTAATAGGGCAACATTACTGTTCATGCGTATTTAGATAGACGCTATATTAATAACGCTAGCATGCATTGATCGTTACTCGTATCGTCATCATTGCGTGTATATCATGACTTGTAAGAATGTCCAAGTATATTATCAAAAAAATTTATTTTTTTTTAGTAAAACACACAATCAGCGTTATGATTAGAGAATTAAAGAATTTTTTTCGCTTTACGCTAATACTGTGACGACGTTTAATAAAAACAGGAGGAAAAAAACAAGAATAAATTCAATGTATCGGCGCGCAATCCCAACGCAGTAACTGAACAACAGCTTGCGTTTTTTCCTTACCCCTAATAGAGATACCCCTCTACCCTCCACGTGAAAGTATCTCGATATATTATGCTGTCTACGTGGTGGTCTACTACTATATCTCTACGTGGTTTCTGCAGCAAGCAATTATTACACCAGTTCGCACTGGAAGGTGTCAGCAAAAACGGCGAAGACGGCTAAATAGAAATGTAGAATAACGCCTTGTGAAATTGCCTAAAAATTTAGTAGTAGAATTCGTGTTACATCGTACGGAACCATGCAACATCGGCTCTTGTCGATATCAATATAAGGGAATCAAGTATTGCTTGATTTGTGAAAAATTTACTACTTTTGAAATTGACGGTACAAGATGGGGAGAAAGCGCAGGTGTATCATAATGCATATTGTGGTAAATGCGGATCGAAATTTTCCACTTAGCATCAAATTATACGGAGGATTGTATCAATTTATATTAGGAATTATACCAAGGGGCAGGAATAAAGGGCCAAAGAATGCATTCCATTCAATTTCACTTCTGATTGTATTTGTTGAATATTGTTAAGCTTGCCCCTTTACGCAATGTTATTATAATTTGGCATCTTAATAAAAACAATTCTTTCCTTAATAATTTTCCCTTGTCACTCTTAAGTGTAGACATAAATCATGGCTTGTTGAAAGTCGGTCGGCTCCTAACGGGACTTTGACGGGACTATTCATCGTTTCTTTAATGTAAAAAAATGTACTTAAAAAGAATGACAATACATACCTGGAAAGGAACTAGCTTTTCTAGATAATTGTACCAACTTGCCACATACTACTATATAACCTTAGTAAGCGTATGTATATATATATATATATATGCGTATCTTTTTCTATTTATCTACTGCATATCTCTAATTCCTCCGAACGTTTACGAATCGCATGAATTTATCATCGACGACGGTCTTCTACGAGTCCTGAACCACTCGGACATTTAAAAAGACCTTTCAAATCAAGATTTTATCATTTCGAAAGCGATTTTTCTAGCTATCAAACTACAGATATCCTACTAATAAATTTCAGTTTTCATTCGAAAGGTTATTAGAAATGATTCTTTTTCAACAGCAAACATATGTTAGAAGCTGACAAAGACTTACTATTTCTTCTACTTTTTTGCTTCTGTCTGCGCTTTTGTATCTAATTTTTCAGGTAAAGTTTTTGAAAATTTGGAATTCTAAATCTCATCTAATCTTTGAGGCACTCGCTTTTTCTCCTAATGTTTTTGCTGGCTTTGAATCTGTTTATTATTCTCAATAATAGTTTAATGTCGTTTTTACTCGTGCCAGCTTAACAGCGTTTTCTTGCCTTTACGAAGTTGTGTCCTTGCACAATCGTCAGCAAAAAGATGGCCTTCGTAGTACACTCCTCAGATTAGGACCGTTAGAACACTTTCCCTGGCATGAGTAACTGGATTAAATCAAGTTTCACAGTTATGCAAATAATCCTGTTTTTCACAATTAGTTCTGCACGATAGCGGTTTTCCACACAGGTTTTGATGGTTTATAACGAGATGATAATTTATTCGTTCGCTTTATATCAGTGTTTTAATCTTCAGCATAGACATTTCACTTCCACATTTCATTTATCTTTTTCTATATTTATATGCCTATTTATTATATATTTGCCGTTGACGCTCATTTTATGGGAGAATATATATGTATATATATTCTCTCATTCTTATCATTATCATCACCCCATTATAATTACTACTAATCCTATTCCTATTAATAAGTTGTATAGTTAAAATTGTGTTTATATACACCTTTTCTTCGACACTGTACATAACGTGTGCTTGTCCTCGGCAGACCGCGACCGCCAGGATCATGATCGGGGTTTTCTCTTTTTTAATTTATTGTTTTTATCGATAATGCTCTCTGCGATACGATCTATTAACCTCTTGCTCTAATTTAGGACAATTTTGCGCCTCGTTAAACCAAATTTTGCTTCGTTTTCGCCCTCTTTTTTAGCTATCAGCTTCCGCCAAGGCGCCAAAGGTTGTTTTTAGATGGCCACGACCGAAAGCTTTACGGCAAGAGAATAGTCCCGCCGTATAGTATGGAATGTTACCGTTGTCCATACCATCTTTCCTCTTGCTCTTAATAATACTTTGTCTTTTGCTATGGGGTTCTACTGCTCCCCAATGATTCCTTCTGTCAACGATGTTGTATCCGAAGTGTCCCTGTTTCACTGCCACACTTATCTGCTCAAGAGTTCTTATTTCTTCTTTCGCCTCACAGACTTCTCACGATGATCATGCAGGAAAGCCGGCAAATAGGCAAATTTTTGATAGGCTAATTTACGCTAGGTGAGTTAGCTCTTCTATAATTGCATTGATTTTCGGCATTTCCTAAAAACAACCATCGAAGATCGACATCGGCGGCCGAATCAAGCGCGTGAAGCAAAACAGTGCAGGATCCAAGAACTCTAAAATTATTACTATTAGCAAATATGAGCAGGCGGTTTCTTATGTTTGGAGGAGTGGCTTTACTAGTATTATCATAATACCAATCATTGTTATCTGTCATCATCCATCATAGACACCCATTCATAACTGTTAATATAATCCAATAGCACCCACTAAGACCTAAATGCCCCTTATCCGTCGTTATATCCGCTATAATGGAGTTCACGCACCTTTTTCTCAATGCCTTTTATTATATACCATTCGTACCTCCCCCCCCCCCCTTCAGACACTAATGGTATAGAACGATAAGACAGATTCTGATCAGAGAAAGAAACTCAGGAGATCAGGGGCAACCGAATAAGTCACAATGAAGTGAGTGAGTGACAGATCATTAAATCGGAAGTAAAGGCATGGCATTTGAAAGTGGCAGAGTCCAGCGAATGGTCGGCTAGTTACCTAGCCGTGAATTAATACAAATTTGATCGCGTTCAATTAGGTAGTTGTAGAAATTTTACTGATCTCTAGGCATACGACCGGTTAAGGCTTGCGAGCTAGCGTCTACTGTACTACAACTGGCGGCAATCGAAGTACTTCAGAGTGCCACCGCACTCCGCTAAAGTGAAACGTCCTGAAGTATTTATTTCCTCTAGATGACAAACCTGTTTAGTTTTTTTTTGTACTGTACGAAACATGGAGTGGCAGATGACTAAATACTTCATAGCATCTTTAAGATGAAACACAATAAATGAAGCGCGGCACAGGCAATGCGCAAAGCGAAAACTCGTGTCAACTCTTGGCAACGTTATGACGACTAACCCATTTATCGCTTAACCACCGTTTCTAGTCGAAATTCGCCCATATGCGTTATTGGTGGCGTCACGAATCTCGCCAGCCGCGTATCACTCTTGTCCCAACGGACGGCGAGCACGTTACGCTTAATGGCGACCGACACCCCGAGTGTCGGAGAAGAATTCGCTACAAGACGTTTTGATGATGTTTGCGTGCTCGGAAACTGGCTCCATTTGTAATCCGTCCAAGGCGACAAGAGTCATGATCGAAGCGCTATGCTGCGAGAGGGTGTAGTAGAAATAAGTACCCGCCTTCGTTCTTTAAAACTTCAACTTCATTTAAACCTTATTTAAATGATTTTGATTTAGAACTTCGTTCACCTTTGCTCTTAAACATACTGCCATCTTCTACCTATCAAATGGGTGATATTCCCCTCAACCACGTACTTCTGCTAACACTAGTTCCAGGGAAAGGCGGTCAACTTCATGTAGAAGTTAGCAGTTGTAGTAATAATGTCATCTCGGCCACAAATATATTCGTCATCGGGGCCATTTTTTCGAGCTCTCATAGTAATGGCAGTACCATGATAATAACTATCACAAGAGTGTTAACGGCAATCTTTTTTCCGCGTATTTGTAGTTTCGTCGCGTGTATCGCGTTTACCCGTTTCTGACAACAGCCTCTTTCTGTGGTTGTCCAAGAACCACACTATGATAATAAACCAATGGTGCTAGCTATCACTAATGGCTGATTGTGGATTTCGGCATAATAAACTCGAGATTCAAACTGAATAATAAACCACTTATTAAACGTGATACCATCACGTAATGACATACTTAGTCAATTATATATATATATTTAGTGTATGTCTGAGTGTAATCTTTCTAGTCCAGCTTCTATTGCTTATTCTCAAACATTTCAATTGAGTTGCCTTCACGATGCTTGGACTTTTGGTTTCTGCGAACGGCAATGTCTTCAATAGAAGGATGTGTGACCACAAAGGATTGGTTTATGGGCTAACATGAGACTATGTTGAAACTGATGACAAGGTAGATCTCTACATGTTGCCACCGAATGAACGGGATACAAGCAATAGGACAAATTAGCACAGAGCGAAGGATTTCGACAGAGCTGGTTAATGAGTAGAGAGTACACTGTCAATGAATTTCACACGGGAACAAATAATGATATCTATTGAAACAGCGGTAGACGATATCACAGAAGAGAAACGATAAAGCATGCGCAATATAAATATATTGCCTAAAGGCTAGGAGAACATCGTAACGAAACGAACTATCGGTTTGTCGATGATTGCCGATCTTGTGACGGCTGTCAGAAGCATAGTTGTGAACGATCAGATAATTAGAGATAGCTTGTCGGCAAGTCTATGATCATACTAATACATTGTAAGAGTAGCATGAAGAGACACGCAAGAGAAACCATTAGCGTTACGAAGCGGCGGCGGCGGCGACTATGCGACAGAAATTCGTGTGCGCGAAAAACAACATTATTGACGGCAATGCACCCAGCAAATCCTGTAGATTTCTGTAGACACTGCGACCCCAGATGCGGATAAACGTGGGATAAGAAGCACAAAGGTTGAGTTCCTTCGTCTGGTGATTTTCATCTGCTTGATACGTGTCGCTACTTGCGCGTGACTGACACTCCCTGATGCTTTCATTTCCCCTTCCCTCGTCTCTCTGACTATCATTTCCCGTCTTTCGAATCTGCCCATGTGATCTCCAATGTCCCGTTCCATTCATTATCAACGTTTATGGTATCTCTACTTGGTGATCGCAAGCTGAAGTCAGCCAATTAGACTGAGGCTGTTATTCACACATCGTCGATTCAAGATTTCAAATCATATAGACGTTGTTGCTATTCTTATTACTGTTATCTGTTCCGTATTAATATCTCTTGTGTTGTTAATACAAAAGCACTCTATACACACACAGACACGTTTCGCAGGCAACGTCCACACCCAAAACTGCTTAATCTACAAATGTAGTTGAGTGGTCGGTTAAATAGTACAGAGGACAAGGGGAACGGGAGAACTCATTGTCTGATTAAATTTGTCGTCATTCGAATACTGTTGCATCATGACAGTTCTCTGTTCTTAATCAAGTCGAAGTATCAGTCAGTCACACCAAATACTATCCACCACAATCAACAATAACAACATCACAGCTTGAGCGAGTCGTTTCGAGAAGATAAACTTGATAGAAATTACGGGAACTGGCGTGTCGCCAGTGTCACTTTATGGGGCAGCCTTTACCGACCAGTACATCGACCACCCGGTTCCGCTCATTCTAAACGCGCACGGGTTCCTTTTGTTTCTCCCTTCTCTTGCTTTGAACGGGCGACTCGCTCAACTATGATAGTGTAAATGTATGTCACAATCGGAGTTAAGGCTTTCATTACGGATAAGGTTAGGTAGGGCTGCACATCTTGGAGGCGGCATTTGGAACCATATTGTTTCAGACTTAATGTGAAATACTCTGCTACGGTATTGTCGTCTTGCTCGGCTTGACCATCTTTTTCTTCCTTCTAACCCACTCATTCTCTCTGTATGGATGCCTATTGTTATCATGCTATTATTAGTGGCTTGTTACGAAAAAATATCGGCTTCAGTCATGCATGTGGTCTAAAACTACCTGTTATTCGAGAGTATTGCGCCAATTAGAACGACCCACCAAAGGACCCCGCGAATATTTATAACGATATCCTATATTAAAGCGAAAGTCAACCTGGTACGCGAATTGAAAATCTCAGCCGTTTCAAGACATTTAACTGGGCTCGATACATGGGCAAGTAAACAAGGCAAGATGAACTATCGACGGAGTAAAAATTAGGCCAAGTGGTTTTGAGTAAGGCTGTCCGCTCAGCGTCCTAGGTTCGAGACTCTCCAAGAGATAGCCTTGTTATTGTTGGTGGTGGCATGTAGTTGTTTTCTGAACAGGAGAGCTATGAGCTGCTGGCCATTTTTACGTTGTACCGAGACTTTATAGCGATTAACCAGCTTCATGCGTTCGCGGTATATGGCGATGCGTGTAACTTGGTACAGCGCGGCCAAAGATCAATGTTCAGTTCTATTATGGTAGTAGTGTTTCTATTGTACAAAATATTAGCATAATGATAGTAATAATAATAAATGATAAGATTCATGCGTTGCCGTGATTATTGGCACCATTAATATTTCTATGAAAGGAGAGAACACGTTTATGAGCAGGTTAAAAAGTTTAGATGAAAGGGAACCAAATAAGAACTACGCCGAGATAAATTGCCCACGCTGCCCCCAAGACGGCACCCTCTACCAACGCTTGTGACGAATTTTTAGTCGTACCATCGATGTAGGTGCGTGCAATATACTTCATTGTCTCGTCGAGAATGACGACAGGTAGCGACATCTTGCACACGGCGATCCATTCGTTCGCGCTCAGCGGGCACACGCTAAATACAGTCTGTAATTCGGATAAGAAAAGCAATGCGCAGAAGGAATTCATTATCCGCTGATTCACGATGGGCTTGGCTGATGATAGTCGCTAACGGCCTACTTCTGCTGCTTCACGAACACTTGCCCCCTGCTGTTGACACCGAAATTATTTGTCCAACTATCAGGGAGGATGCATGGGGGGAAATAGCAAGTTACTTACATTCATGATATCGGTGTAAAGGACAAGGAAGTGGAGAGACATCGACAGCGTCATAGCACCGACTAGCCACAGATTGGTCCAGGGCGGCATAACGAGCAGCGACTGATTCTCCGAAAGTGAGTTGAGTGCATTCAGCATCTCGATGAGCACAAGCACCGAAAGCGCCATTGTCATAGGGTGAGGATCATGGAATACAGCGCAGTCGATTCCAGAAAAGTTTGTCTTGTCGCCTATGCAGGACAAGTGGTGAGTGACCTGGAATATACGAAGGGAAAAACATCCGAGTTTAACGAAGTCAATCAAGCTACACTATTGTAACGAACAAGCACAGAAGATCATATATCTATAGCTTAGGCTATATGGGCCAGTCTATTACAATTCTGCGTATGTCGACATTATTTTGTCGTACCTGGTAGAACGAAAGGTGCGGACCATCGGGAGCCACCATGTACCACCAGGCAGAAGCGCCCACCGTCGCCGCACCGACGTATCCTCCAATAGCCATATAACGGAAGAACAACCAGCCAGAGATGAGGGATTCGTCGGCCTTGCGAGGCGGGCGCTCCATGATGTCGAGGTCAGGCGGATTGAATCCGAGAGCAGTAGCGGGAAGACCATCAGTGACCAGGTTGACCCATAGAAGCTGTACAGGGATAAGGGCCTCAGGCAGACCCAGTGCAGCCGTCAAGAAAATCGATACGACCTCACCAATGTTGGACGAAATCAGGTAACGGATGAACTGTTTCATGTTGTTATAAATTGCGCGACCCTCCTCGACGGCAGCAACAATTGATGAGAAGTTATCATCGGCCAGCACCATTTCAGCAGCGGACTTGGCTACAGCAGTTCCAGAACCCATAGCAATTCCAATTTCAGCTTTCTTTAGGGCGGGGGCATCATTCACACCATCACCAGTCATGGCCGAGATTTCACCATCGGCCTGAAGGAACTCAACGATCTTAGACTTGTGGGCCGGCTCGACGCGTGAGAAGAGACGAGAACGCTGGGTGGCACGTCTTTGCTCATCAATTGGTAGGTCATCGAATTCACGGCCGGAATATGACATACCGGTCGTGTCTTCCTCCTCGGTAAAAACCCCAATACGACGGCAGATTGCTTCAGCAGTTCCCTTGTTGTCACCAGTGATGACAATGACACGGATACCAGCAGCGCGGCAGCGCATGATAGAATCGAACACCTCCTTACGGGGGGGGTCAAGCATTCCGACCACACCGACAAATGTTAGACCAACCTCATAGCGGATGAATTGCGTCGAGTCACCGAGCTCCATCTCGTCGGTGCGCGGAGGCGTGTCAAGGGTGGCAAGAGCCAGGCAACGAAGGGTGTCACGGCCAGTACCATATGCACGAGTAGTAGCAAGGATTTTGTCTTTTAAGGCGGTGGTCATGGGGAACTTCTTATCCCCAATACGCACGTGCGAGCAACGGTCGAGCACGCCTTCCGGGGCACCCTTGACAAACATTTTGGGGCCAGGGCCAAGCTTGTTGGGCTTTGTGGGCACGCAGTACGATGACATAGATTTACGGTCACGAGAGAATTCAAGGGTACATTCTTTCTTCCACATCGACTGGATGCCATGGGTCACAGTAAGTGCGGCATCACGTCGGGACTTGCCGGACTTGTCGAATTTGAGCGGGTTGATTTTCTCAGCTAGGACAATCAGGGCGGTTTCAGTGGCCTCGCCGACCTTCTCAAAGGCCTGCTTGTATTCGTTGAAATCGATGGACGAGTCGTTGCACATAACGCAGATAGTAGACAGCTCAACAAGCGCTTCATAATCGGTAGGATCGACACGGGCGCCGTTCTTGAACACTTCGCCAATGGGTTCATAAGTGGAGCCAGTCACTTCGAACTCATGGAAGTTGATGTCGTTGTTCTCAGCGTAATCGATAATGAAGAAGCGTGACACGGACATTTGATTGGTAGTGAGCGTGCCAGTTTTGTCGGAGCAGATAACAGAAGTGCAACCAAGTGTTTCTACGGAGGGCAGGGAACGCACAATGGCATTCTTCTTGGCCATACGGCGAGTTCCCAAAGCTAGACAAGTGGTAATGACAGCAGGCAGACCCTCGGGGATGGCGGCGACGGCGAGGGCAACGGCAATCTTGAAATAATAGATAGCGCCCTTAATCCATGAACCACCGTGAGCGGGGTCATTAAAGTGCCCAATGTTTATCGCCCACACAGCAACGCAAATGATGGAGATCACTTTCGACAACTGCTCACCGAACTCATCAAGTTTCTGCTGCAGCGGAGTTTTAACTTCTTCAGTCTCAGCCATTTCAGTACGAATCTTACCAATAGCGGTCTCCACACCAGTACCAATGACAACACCTAGAGCTTTTCCGGCGGCAATATTCGTTCCAGAAAAGAGGATGTTTTTCTTGTCTTGGTTGACGGCGCGGGGGTCGGGCACAGCGTCCGTGTGCTTAATAACGGACACCGACTCACCGGTCAGGATGGACTGATCAACGCGAAGCGTAGTCGAATAAATCTTGACGAGACGGATATCAGCTGGTACCTTGTCACCGACAGACACCTCAACGAGATCACCGGGCACGATCTCTTTGGCGCGAATTTTCTGCACGCCATGCTTATTGCTGCGGATGACCTTACCCATTTCGGGCTCATATTCCTTTAGAGCTTCAATAGCAGATTCAGCATTACGTTCTTGCCAGACACCGACAACGGCGTTTGCAATGAGAATGAGAAGAATGACAAAGGGTTCGACAAACGCCGTAATCGAATCTTCCTCTTCAGCTTCGAACAACGCCAGCGCGAACGAGATGATGGCGGCAAGAAGCAGGATCTTGACGAGCAAATCGTCGAATTGTTCGAGAATAAGCTGCCAAAGAGCTTTGCCTTCCTCAGCGGGCAATTCGTTGGGTCCGTATTTCTCTTGATACTTCTTCACCTGGCTGTCAGAAAGCCCACGCTCGGGATCGGTTTGGAAGTACTGCAACACCTCCTGGTACGTCTTTGCGTGGCCCTGCTCCATGGTTTCCTTTTTGCGCGTGCAAAGCGCAAGTCCGGGCCCGAAGACGGAAAACGGCTCTCAGCCGCTGGCCAACGGTCTCACCGCGGCCGCTTCACTCACGGCTCTGTAATAACAGCACAACAGATGTAGATCGTTAGAAATGCTACTAAAAGATTTCGATAACGACCTTTCTACTTGTATATAACCATAGTACTGCACGTTCGAGATCTGGTCTAACATCTTTGATAGGGGAACTTTCGCGCTGTTTATCATGTTTATTGGCTAGTAGCATTTGTTGAAGAAATAACTGAAGAAAAATATAAATGAAATATATTTAATAGAATTTCAGCGGTCGTAATACCAGACGTCGAATCCATAGGAATAATGAAATCAGATTTGACTACAGTCAGTTGACCTCCACGATTCATTCCAGTCGCCCCAACCATAATAATAGTTTAGATTATAAGAAAAACTTTTTTTTTTCTGGATGGAAAGAACTGTTTCAGAAACCCCCTATTCCAATATTGTCCATCTTCATATATTGAGTGGGGGGGAGGGAGGGAGGAAGGAAGACATAGTTAACAAAGTGGCGATGCCATCTTGCGTCACCGACCATCTTAATTGAGCCCCCAAAACTATAATCATCCGCACGTCTCTAGTGTCGGGGAGCGGCCGCTTCGTGAATTGCGTCACAGAGATGCCAGCAGTAGTCGCAATCGCAGCCCCTGCGACACCAACGTTAACAGCAGCAACGACAGACAAGATCTGTGCTGTTGACAGGGTTAACACGCTGGCAAGTTTTGTGTTTCTCCGTTATTTTGCGTTTCCTCTCATCTGGCCATCCTCTGATGAGTATATGCAGCAGACGCCGCTGCGTCACACCAGCGATGAGCGGCTATGTAAGATTCAGTCATTATTACCGCCACCATCTTTCATTATTTCCAGCACTAGCGTTAATGGGTATACGGATCAAGGCAAAAGTAAGTTGCAGCACAACTGCGGAAAATATAGGTGTATAGTTGTAGAAAAGAAGCTAGCCCACTTAGAAATACATTTTCAGCTGAAGCAAATACTGTCCCGACTATAAGTTCGTTGTCATTTTTGAAGCAGTACGCCGATCTGTTTCCTAACTGTAGGAAAACTAATCATAGTTGTGAGTTGAGTTTTTTTTTCTCCGACCATGTGTTGACAAGTGTTCACGTACTTATTCTGTCGCCTATGAAGCAGCAACTGCTAATACTGCTGGAGATTAGCGTCACGCATAGATCGATACCCTTATATTAGGTTAAATTAATATCACATAGTAATACAGGTCAGCCCCAAGACACCGATCTATATAGTATAAGCCTGCGCTAAACTAAAGAGGTCTAGTTGAAATGCAATTCAACTAGCAACTTATTATATGGCAATAATAATCGTAAATAGCGAATACGGCTGCTATCGTACATTTGTCTTTGCGGGCGTCAAACTATATAAACAGAATAACAATAGCTGCGGTATGACCACTTCAATATATGTATTATACTATCATTGTTTTTTTTTTCGTTTTGCTTGCGGCAGGTGCTTCAATTTGACCAAAATCTTACAGACTTCATTCAACATGAGCTCTGCTGAGGTATTATGGTTGGCCATACAAAAATGGTGGGCTCATGCGGCCAGAGATAGCCATCATATAAGCTTCAGCCAGTCAAAAACCGGCCTTGCTTCTTGGCGAGTATTTACAACTGCGACATCTAATCTAGTCGTCTAAAGTGGCCTGCGACGTTAGGCGCTCACATACATCCACCAGCTGATTGAGCAACAGGTCCACATGATTATAAAGACAGCACGCGGGGTGTTGCCGAGTGGGCCGACATCTTCCTGTAATTGAATCGCCAGCCAGCTAGCTCTCTCTATATGCTGAAGATACGGAAACGAGAGTAGCCAGTCACCCTGGAACATTGTCGACATTTACGAAACCTGCTAGGTACCAGCAAATCACAGTAATTATACTTCGTTTGGAATACATCGATATGTAAACAAGCTCAAAAACACGGTACAATATTTAACTTGTCCTGCTTATCACCGTTTATTTGGCAGCACAAAAACGCTCATTCATGTTCTTCCGGTTATCGTGGACTATCAGTCGTACCGACACTAACTTAAATCGATCAGAGACCAATAGACAAACGCAAAGCTTGTTTATTCAATAGTTGGCCCAAGCCGATATCACTTAATACAGCAGAAAGACTCTGCTGTATTAATTACATATTCTGCTGGGTTCGCTGCGTGTCCTCAGCTCGAAGGTAACCGCTTAACTTTTTTTTAAATTATAGTGACAAACATAATTGAGGTCGCACCACTCATCACGTCACTATTATTGGGCTAATTTAATTTATCTGAATGTTTTTACTGTGCATTTAGCCGAATGACGGGTTATTTCACATTGCTATATGCCTCTGCCGAAGGAACAATTTGACCCATTTGAAGATGGCAAGCCGACATAGCAGCGAGAGTACCCACTTGCTGACAGCGGAAGATCCCCATCCTCGGACCATCATCACCACCCATCCTCGGATAGGAAAGAGACTGTTTAGTTTAGAATTTCGGTTTAGAGCTGCCACTATAAATCCTTAACTGGGAGCTTTCAATTGTACTGTTTTGTGCCTGCTAGTTGAGGCTACATGCATTGTTCGATTTTGATCATCCAATCATGGTTTAGGTGCAATAGGAAGAGTTCCTATTGCACCCTACACGGCATACAGACCCTCTGAAAGAGCGCATTACGTTTGAATGGGGCAAATTTTGTAAAACGCTTACGAATAAACACCTACTCCATTGCACATGTTGATTATTTCAAACTATAAACCAAATGCAACTACGGCAAAATCGGCATCGGAAGTCGTCTTCTCAGGAAAAACACGTACTTAAAAATTTCAATAATAACACTTATTACGCTTATATATCAATGCAATTCTTAGGAAATTCGACATGACAACAAACATATATAACAAATCAACATAACGATCTTGAAATATGACAACCACTCGCTGTGTTGTCAGGGCCATCAGGTATAAATGTGTTTTTCAAATGAGGCTTGGGCCTCAAGAAAGCATCCCACACCTGTCTTTGTCCACGCGAGCTGACATTTTTCTGGAGCTCCAATTCCAGAAAGAAAGACAACAGAGTTTGGTATAATAGGCTTGTCGTTTGAAGTAGCAAACAACTGCTTAGCAAAGGCCAAGAGCAACACTCGCGTATTCGAGCGAGCTCTGTTTATATCGCTGTTGCGACAGGACTCTACTGTCCTAGTTAGGAAAGCGGGGGAATGTTGATGACAGTGGAGTGTTACTATCTATTAAGCGTCCTCTGTCGAGCGAAGTTGTTACTGTCACAGCCAGACCCCTATGGCCTGTTGCCGTTTCTCTCCTTTCCCCTCTTGCCGCCATCGACTTTGCCCTGTTTTTGCCTGGCACTGAAGGAGGTCGACAAGCAAAGCGGCCCATTGTCACTTGGCTCAACAGCGGACCAGTGGAGGTAGCGGTGTCCATTGTCCAGCACAGACTTACAAGCACAGCTGACGGCGTGAATAGTTCGCTAGCATAGTGCATAGCACACGCTGTGCGCATGGGCCGTCTAGAAAAACTCAGTTAGCACATACAAACACAAATGCTAGGTATGAAAACACAGCGGAAGGCTGGTTGATAACAATACCTCCGGTCGAACGGTCCATAGATCTACCCTGCTGTCTGTCTGCCTAAATGTAATTGGCAAACCAACGCGCATCGACCAGCGGCGGCGCTGTTGCAGCAACTAACGTTAGCGAACCCCTACGTGGAAGGTCTCGCTGCTCACCCCCAGCCGACGGTCCCATATTTTGCTCAGGAAACAGTCTGCCGTTCTAGTGGCTAGTTCCCGAATAGTCACAATAGCTCGAATAGTTGCCAATCGCGGCGGCAATGACGAAGTCAGAGGCTACCATCGTCACTACTACCAATACGATAGGCGGTCATAAAAACAGACGGACGATAATAGCGAGTAAGCGAAATGTCGCTTTCATTGTGGTAAGAGCAGAAGTGGTCCTCATAACGAGTCGAAGAAGAGCTAAAAACGAAGGGAAAGAATAAACAGCAAAAGCAACATTCGACGCGGCCACAATAATCTGAATAAATACAAATATATATATATTTAGCCTTAAACCCTCTTTCTTCCACAAGTTCACATATGGGGGTCTAGTAGACTAGCTGTCTTGACTACAAACTAAGTAACGCAACGATCAAACATCCAGTATAGCAACCATACCAAAGGTAGCACTGCTTACGGACTTACGCTATCTAAATGTGAAATAATGCCCATTTGTCCACTGCTATCGTATTATACGTATAGAGGTGTACTGACTGATCGTTTATAGGAACATTCTCTTCTCTAGGGTTTAGTGGGCATCCACTAACCATCCGATAGGGGGCGCACTTAAGCCGAAAACAGAACGCAACGCAGACTCATGTTCGCCTTATTCTGTGTTCCGATCCACAGCATGCAGACAATATTTCTCTCCGAAACGAATGCTTCCTACAAAAACGTCATACCAAAGTTACTGCTCATATGCGACTTCAATCAGCTTGCCTGCCATGCGCGAATCTCTTCGGCTTAAACAATCATATACCAGTGAACGCTCAAAAGTGAAAGACAAGGCACCATTTCGACATTTTCTTAGCACAAGTCGTCCAATAACGAACTTAAGGGTGACTAACTTCCCACAAGTTAACATTGTACGAATGCAAAAAGGATACTCTATATCGTAGACTAGACATGTCATAACAACTACGTTGAGGTTCTTAAGATCCTTTGTGTCATAAATCCCAGCAACACAGATTTCGTTTAAGTATTTTTATACAAGTATAGACACCTTGAGAAGGTACAAAATCCATTACTCGTAATAACCGTACATATGCTAAGCTGAGTAGATCACAATATCGAAAATACCTCGACAAGCTTGTGGCCGAAACCAACATATGAGTGAATTTAAAAATAACTTCAGCAATTCTTCGCTTTATTAAGCATGCTTATTTGCTCAAGATCACTGATTGCCACCAAATCAATTGATACTGGGGGCTTAGTACTTCATTCGAATGCCCTTCGTCTTTT